TTTTATATTAGTGTTTTTACTCTTAAAAGTTATACACATTCCTGCTATTTAAATCTTATTTATAAATTAAGCAAATTTAAATTGTTAATCTACTTTTTAAAAATTAATAGGCTTTATTTTTAGAGCACTTTTAAGTCTATAGTAAAACTGAGCTCCCTCATACCTCCCCCTTCCCCCATCCCACTCCTGCAGTTTCCCCGATCATCAACGCCTTGCATCAGTGCGGTGCATCTGTCACAATTGGCGAATGAATGTTGATGCATTGTTGTTAACAAGAGTCTGTAGTTTACACCAGGGCTCACTCTGTGTTATACTGTTCTATGGGCTTTGACAAAGGTATTGACTTACAGCACCATGTAGCTTCACTGCCCTAAAACACCCTCTGGGGTTCACCTGTTCACCTCTTCTCTCTCCCAACTAACCCTGACAACCACTTTTTTTTTTTTAAACTGTTTCTATACTTTGCCTTTCCCAGAATGTCGTATAGTTGGAATCATACAGTGTGTATGTTTTTCAGATGGGGTTCTTTTGCATAGCAATATGCATTTAAGATTCCTCTATATATTTTTATGGCTTGACAGATCATTTCTTTTTATTGCTGTATAATATTCCATTGTGTGGAGGTGCCACACTATTGTATCCATTCACCTATGAAGGACAGCTTCGTTGCTTCCACGTTTTGGCAGTGATGAGTAAAGCTAATATAAGCATTTTTGTGCAGGTTTTTGTGTGGAAGTTAGTTTTCATCCCATTTGGATAAATACTAAGGAGCATGATTGCTGGACTGTATGGTAAGTTTTATAAGAGACTTTAGTTTTATAAGAGACTGCCAAGTAGCCGCACCATTCTGCATTCCTGCCAGCAGTGAATGAGTTTCTGTTGTTCCACATCCTCACCAGGATTTTGTGTTGTCAGTGTGTTGACTGTTAGCCATACTAATAGGTGTGCAGGGACATCTGATTGTCTGAATTTTCAGTTCCCTAATGGCATATGATATTGAGCACTACTCTCCAAGTTTTGGGTGTTTGTTCTAACCCCGTCAGTATCTGAATTGGCCATTTCTCCTTGCAGTTCATCAGTCTGCCTCATGTA